CGGAAACCCGGACCGGAACGGAACGTAACTACTTACTACGACTAGTAGTTAAATAACGTAGTACGTACGTACTACCTAAAACGTAAATAAGTATATATATATATATATATATATATATATATATATATGAGCAAGAAATCTTTTCTTTTGTAGCATAAGCATGCATACATAAACAGATAACATGTTTCTAAGAATTAGTAATTTCAAGCACCTGAAAAGGCCATGCTGGTACAGCTGAAAAAATAAGTGACCACCATTAATAAAATCCAGCACAAGATACAACCTGTACTTAGTCTGCAAGAAAGACAAGGGATTCTTAATATCAAATTGCAAGACCCCAAGCTTCTAAGTCACTAGAAAACAAGACTGCTAGTTCAACACTCATAACATCTGGTTAACTCCATCAATCCATCCAGTTAAATTTCATCAATAATAAAGCACCATGATGGTTCATAGCATTTTCTTTCTGGTATAAGATAAAACATGTAGAATGCTACATTTGTTTCCTAGGACTCTTTTGTATTCTTTGTTTCGTTTATCCCATGAGAATTCATGTAAAAGTTTTTGGAATGCCCATCCAAAAGAGCAATCACCAATACAATAAGTAAAGCTATCAGTGCGTTCATTTGTGCTGCATTGGCTTAGACCAATGACTGGTATGACAGAGACATAAACAACACCACAAGGGTTGTCAACCCCATACACCTAATTTTTTAAAATCAGTATGATTTTCATTAAATGAAAAAAAAACAACAACAGTTTTTCTATAAATGGTAGGAAATCAACATCTTATGACATGCGCATGTTTGTGTTACTATAGAGCAAGACAGCCTAGTGATTGGTATCTCACCATGTATAAAACATGAAAATTAGTTACCTTGGAAAGAGAACTCTTAGCTACCAATATGCAAACAATAAAGTCCAAAAACTAAATGCCAACAAGTTAAGCCTCTATGATATCAACTATGCTAGTCCCGAAAAGGTTAAGTTAAATTATATGCTTAAAAACAACCATCTCCAGCCACACTTTAAGGCTCCCAAATTACAAATACTCATATTATCTGTTAAAAGATTAATAGCATCTGGTCTCCCAACAAAGATACGACAATCGTATGCACATACATGTATGACACTACATCTTAAATGCTCATGAGCAATGTATGAAGGATGAAAACACACTCCACAAACACCTTCCCTTAGTTCACATCATAACTCCTGTAAATTTATATTAAATAATACAAAGAAAGTAATGATATGTGTAGTCAGAAAATGTAAAACATTTAAAAATTTGACAGATGTAAAACGTTTAAAAATTTGACAGAAAATATTCATCTACACAACAACAGATAGAATCAAAATAGTACCTGGAAGGAGTATCTGAGTTGCACGATAAACGGGTGAACAACTTTTGTTAAAATATCCCTTTCCGATTTCATGTATTCAGCATGATTCTTCTCCATAATCTTATCCTTCCTCATAACCTTCATTGCATATATTTCTGAAGTACCCCGCATCCTCACTTGATAGACCTTGCCGAAAGCCCCTTGCCCCACCATCTTCATCACTTCAAAGTTCTCAAGCCCCACGCCTTGAGTCTTTATAACTTGGGATTCACCCAAAGCCACAGGCTTCTCTATTGAATCCACCTCAGATAAACCCTCACATACTTCGTGTGGCACTTCGATCATTTTATTTTCAATAATGCCCTCTTTGTCATTCAAGGTCAACTTGCTAAGAGAAACAGATTGACTAACACAAGTAGAGGGACCCACTAGTGAATGGGACCGATGGTAGATGACCACCGGGTCATTATAAACCATCTCTTGAGATTCAATTGCAGGCACGGAATTATCCAAGCATTCGTCTGATGAGACTTGAACCCCAATAGGGCCAAATACATCAGAAAAGTCAAACTCAACATATTCTGAAGGAACACTAGTTGGGTTTTCCACATGAGGAAAGAGCCGGTTTGTGAAGGCAGGTTTGCACCCCTTGGTCATTTGAACACCCGATAAGTGTGAAGAAACCATCACTGAGAGGCAATGATGATGATGGGTTATAGTTGATACCTAAGAAAATAAATAGTAATTTAGGTTGACTTTAAGGTTGGCTGTCTCCAATGGACTTTGCCACGAGAACTGACGAAGAAGGTACCCTTACAATGGCCTTCAACAATAGGAAGTTCACGCCCACAACTTTAGCTCCAAGGAATCTTGGAAGAAGGCAGACCAAAATCCAGAAAAAGAAGTTGTCCTTGTTTCCCGAATCACAGGAAACAGTTATAGCTACGGCACTTCTTGAATTCATGAAGAACAGGTTGTGAAAAGCTGGAAAAACGTTTAAGAAGCATTAGTTACAAGAGAATTGGGAATACTTCACATACACGAGTCAAGAGCCCAATTCAAAGGTTCCCACTTTGGGACAAAGAGAACTAAACTAACCATAAACTTATAGATGACATGATATCATGCATTTCAAATGCCAATAGAAAACAACAGCATAAGAGTTCCCTCTTCTTCACAGACGCACAGCAGTGCACATGTACTCCATACAACATATCCACATTATATATTTATGTATTGTATGACATCTACACAGATGTACATAGCATGCGCATGAGTGCGTGAAACACATGCATGTGCGCAAGCGTGGATACACACACCCATACTCATATGCACTGGCCAACCAACGCATGCACTAGCCAACCAACTCATGCACATGCACAAGACAACCACATAAAACATTTAAGGCTACAAAGAATAATATTAGACAAGCCCACAGCGACACATGTATTCCATACAAAAAAATTTAAAATAAACAAAAAAAAAAATCATGGGGAAATCTGAGAACTGAAACAATGAGTAAAACATGAAATGCAAGCTTCTCATTATAATAATGTAGGAAACAGATCACATTAAAAAAATTGGAAAATCTTCCAAAATTAAAAGGAGAATAAATATGAAACCAAAGATAAATGTGGTAATTGCTAGTGTATAACAATAACAGCTGTAAAAATATCGACCGCCACAGGCAAAGTAGAACGAGACCAGCCCATAAATATAAAATTCATGAGAGAAAGAGAGTATATAAAACCTGTGAACCAAACTTCAACTGAATAACACATTTACCATAGGAAATAGACAACTAAATGAGATACATGGGGACATCTAGAAAATCTTCCCTTTTTGCTTAGTATAATAGGAACAGATTTCAAAAGTAAATTCTATAGTACAACATTCAAATCAAAATTAACTTGGGATAACAAAAATGGTAAATAATAAAACAAAGATTCATTAATTTAAAATGATGATTTAAAAAGTGGACCGCCCAGTGCCTAGGAGGTTCAGAAGGCCTAGGCGCATCACCCAGGCCTAGGCGCCAAGCCCAGAGGCAGAAAACTTTTTTTTTCTTCAAAGATATATAAGTTAAGAATGATGACTTTTAGGTTCATTTGAACCCTAAACCCACCAGAACCCCTTTTAGAGTAACAGAAACCTCAAAAAAACTACATTTCATTGGATCGAATCATCGAAGTGTTTCTCAAAGTTTGGAGTTCAAGCAACCAAAGTAAGTGCATTTTTTAGATTGTTTGTTTTATTTTGAGATATCGTCTTCAGGAGTTAGTCGGAGTGAAGATCCGGATTGAAAATATAGATACAACCCGAATCCTAATGACAAAAATTGCGTTAGATGCAATTTTTGTGAAAAAGATACAAAAAGAGGCATAAACCGGTTTAAAAAACATCTTACCGGTATTAAAGGGGATGTCGCCCCTTGTAAAAAAGTTCCTGAAGCTATGAAGAAGGAGATTAAGCAATTTTTAAGTTATGAAAAACAAAAACAAGAACAAAATCCTTGTCATAGATCTATTTCTACTACTCAAGAAAAAGTGATCCGGGTTGGATGTATGGGTACAACCCAAAACCAAACGATAAAAATTGTATAAGGTGTAATTTTGTGAAAAAGATACCAATGGGGCTATTAGCCGATTCAAAAAACACCTTGCTGGTGTTAGAGGTAATGTTGCTTCTTGTACAAAGGTCCCTGAAGCAGTTCGAGATGAGATTAGACATCTTCTGAATTTTGAAGAACCAAAAAAAGATGAAAATAAGGCTTGTTCTATGGAAGTATCTTCTCCAGTTTCTAGTCGGAGTGGTGATCCGGGTTGGAAGTATGGTTATAACCCAAATCCAAGTGATAAAAATCGTATTAAATGTAATTATTGTGGAAAAGATACTAATGGGGGCATTTATCAATTTAAAAAACACCTTGCTGGTATTACAGGAGATGTTGTCCGGTCTAAAAATGTTCCTAAGGCTACTAAGGAGGAAATTATACAATATTTGAGTTCAGAGAAGCACAAAAAAAAAGCTAGAGCAACCAAGACTCCTAGGAACTCATCTGCACAGGCTGCACATACTAGTAAAAGGAAGGTAGAAGAAGGGCAGGAGGAAGAGGCAAATTCAAAAGAAACAGAAGATGACGAGCGTTATATTGAAGAGGGAGATGACTCTGATGATGATGGCCTCAAATCTGATGTATATGATGAGACTTACCCTATTGATATTCCTTCTAATGATGATGATGACTGAAGACTCTTGCCCCTTGGTGCTGACTGTTGAGTGTTGAGTCTGTTGACTGTTGTGTTGAGTCATGAGTGTTGACTTTTGTTAGACCGCATATTTTCTAAATTTCAGTATATTTCTGTTGTGTTGAGTGCTGACTTTTATATCCTACACTTGTATGGTTTTACAGTTTACTGTTTTAACAATATGGATTATCAAAATTCTCTTCTTGACTTCTATCTTTTTTTCTTTTTTTTTTCAACTTGGAATATGGTATATTGCGATTTTTTCTTTTTTTTCAACTGGGCAGCCGCCCAGGTTCCGGGGGCTCGCCTAGCGCTTTTTGATACACTGATTTAAAACAAAATTCATTGATTCAATCAACAAAACTATGTGATAAAATATGCATAAAGAACTCCAACAAAGCATCCTTGAACTCTCATGGGTTGTTTGGGAACCTTGGATACGCAAAATCAAGATTTCCATATCCAGGTATTGCAATATAAGTAGCTTTTGGCGCAATTTTTGCTGCCAAAACCAGGTTTTTGGTATCCACATAATGATCCAAAACGAGGATACATCTATTCCCAAAAATACTTGGAATACACAAAATTAAGCTTTGTGCTATTCTCGTTTTGCTCGGTTTTTACACTTCCTGTTGCTATTTTCTCACCTTTTTTTATTAGCTCTCTCTCTCTCTATGTGCAGAGCTCTCTCTCCCTCATTGAAAGCACGACTGCCAAGCTCGTCCTCCCCATTCAACATAGCAATTGAAGCTACAAAGCTCATAAATTCATCGCTCGTACTTTGATCAACACTTTGAGCTCAATTGTTGCTAGGTTTTCTTTACAGTCGGCAATCTCCCTTCAGCCACTAAAACCAGAGCTTGAGGTATGTATTATGAGCATGAGTTAGGGTTTTTGTTTTTTGACTCGGGGTATTGAAAGGTAGAGATTCAGATGTAAATTAGGGTTTCCACAGCATGGGTGTACAAAGCTCCAAAATTCATGGTTTCTTTCATCAGCTAATAAATGCAAGTTGGGGTTATCGGAATTTTGTCAATAATATTGCTTTCATCCAGGGTCTTTGCAATTTAGGGTATCTGTAGCTCAAGGAATCATAAACAATTTTGTCAATAATACTGCTTTCATCCAGGATCTTTGCAATTTAGGGTATTCGTAGCTCAGGGAATCAAAAACCTTGGGACTTTGCATTATCAGGGTTTTGCAAATCTGGCTTCTTGACTCCAGAGGTTTTGGAAATCTTATTTAGGGTCACTACAATTCAGGGCTTCTTCAACTCAGGCTTTCTGCAAATCAAACCTTCTGTCAATGGCTGAGCACTTGGCTTCAATCTTTGGTACAGATCAGCATAGATTAACTACCCCTTTTATTTCAAGATTGGAACTTGCAAGCATGGTGATCGATATTCTCGTCTCCATAATCGACCAACCATAAGTCCCACTCTCCTTCTCTCTAACATGTATCAGAGACCCGACATGATAAGTATGATAGGAATGGAAGGCATAAGAGTCCAAAGAGAACGAGGACTCCAATTCGAGAATGAAGTGAGGAAAGGAGGGCAAGGATCGAACAGTGGAACAAAGAGCGAAAGGAGAATCATTGATGCTCTTTTGTTCCTCTTCAATTGTATTCTTTAGGGAAGATATGATGATGAAAATTGGGTTTTCCCTATTTGTTGGAAGACTAATCCTTTGTGATTTAGAAGGTAGGTTTGATTTAGATTTTGAAGTAATTTTATTTTTGGTAATAGATATTGTTTGGCATCGTTGTTTCTGCGTCATTTTGTTCTCAAATTTTGTCTGTGTATGTTTCTTGATGCCGTGAACATGTTCTTGCAATGAATGGGAATTTGGGTTCTGGATTTCAGGTTATTTTGGTTGTTTGAGTTTTAAGGATTGTCCTCACTACATATGTAATTGATTGCCTATCTAGATTGTGGTGCGTTTTAGTAATGATGTTCTAGTTCGGTGGTTATGTTTATGAGAATTAGTTTCCATTTCCCTTGCCTTCCATCAGTAGTATTTAATGATTTATGACCTTGATGCTCATTGTTTGCAGCTTCCTAATTTATATAGCTGTGGAGTAATGAGTTTTCTATTTCTAATTAACCATTCAAGTATAACCACGAAGTAAAAAAATTCAACCACAACATGTAGTCTATTGTGAGAGCTGGTTCATCATTGTGCTTCTTCATTTTCTAATTGTTATATGATCTTTCATAGTGCTTCCCGTAACTTTTACATAGTTGAAAAACCTGGGCATCCAGTTTCCCTGAACATGGTTTTCTTTTGAGGGGCTTTAACATAATAATTGAGGTTTTTCATGTAAATATTTGCATTATTGGTTATTTTGTTTGAGGATCTTCAAGATTTTTATTGAGACAAAATTCGACCTATAAAAAGATAAGAAAATATGACCGGAACCATCTAATGTGTTTGTAATATTTAATGTCTAGTGAAAGTGAGAGAGAGAATCATAATTCTACCCATAAAAATATTGAAATATATACTCGGAACCGTCTAATTTATTTGTTACATTATTGATAACTTGTTCCCAAAAAATATTTTTTATTGGCCATGTATTACTAGGGAATCATCAACTTAAAACCTTGGTTTCAGCTTCATGGTGCCAAACAGGTTATTTTTCATATATTTGGTTCTTCCAGCAGCCATCCAAACAGTATTGTTTTCAAAATCAGCTTTTACTACTAGAATATGAAAAACCAGATATTGAGAGAAACCCAGGATTTACGTATCCAGGGATCCAAACAACCAGTAACATATTAGATCAGATCATAATCAGATCAAACTAAAAAACTAATAGAATTCCATCAGAAAAAGCAAATTATTTCCTTATAAACAATAGAAAAAATTAGTGACAAAAATTATAGAACAAAATAATTAACAGATTGACCTATCCATGGCAAAATAGATAAACTGCATAATTTTTAAAGAAAGTGCATAAGAAAAAAAAAATGAAAAATAACAATGAATACATGATGAATAAACTGACTAAACAAAATTTCAACAGAAGATAAAATTTCCATGGAAGAATCCTAAGATGTGAAAAGTACACAAAACAGCAAAGCAATCAACCAATAAACAGACAAATAACATATGATTAAAACCCTAGAAATAGAAGAGAAATGAGTGGATCAAAAACAAATAAAGAGTTCATGCTGCATAGTAAAACATATTATTTCAATTACCGGAATTATAAAATAAAACACAAATAAACATCACAAATCAGATCAGAGAGGTCACCAACTATTAACTGATCGTGAAAAACAGAACCAGATCACACCAAAACATGATCTAATTCCACCTCAAAAACGCATTAAAAATAATTCCACAACAAAAAAGGGCATATAATCCACAAAATAATCACAACATAGCGCAAAAGAAATTTACCTATATGAACACACCATTCAGGTAAAAACGAAAAATGCATAAAATTTGAAGGAACAAAGAAGAAACGAAACAGAAAACCTATGAATGATTCTTCAATCAAATGAACAGAATAAACTTCAGCTAAACATGCACATTGATCATGGACAATCAAAGATGTGAAAAATACACAAAACAATAAAGCAATAAAACAATAAACACATAAAAAGAACAAATAAAGAATTCATGCTGCATAGTAAAAAATATTATTTCAATTCCCACAGTTATCCAATAAAACACAAATAAACATCACAGATCAGATCAGAGAGGTCGCCAACTATTAACATATCGTGAAAAACGAAACCAAACCAAACCAAAACATGATCAAATTCCACCTCAAAAACGCCTTAAAAAAAGAATTCCACCTCAAAAAAGGCAAATAATCCACAAAATAATCACAACATAGTGAAAAAAAATACGTATATGAACACACCAGTCATGTAAAAAACACCAAAATTCAGAAACATTGAAGGAACAGAGAATAAACAAGACAACAAACCTATGAACGATTCTTCAATCAATTAAGCAGAATAAACTTCAGCTAAACATGCCCATTGATCATGGAAAATCAAAGACAATGACGAAAAAAGCAATTTCACCAATAAATTTCAACAATAAATCGATGGAAAATCCATGAAAACGAAACCCTGAAGAAGGAAAATTAGGGCTTCTTACCAACGGAGAAAACCTGAGGCGCTTCAAGGGCAGCTCTTTGGGATCTCTGGAAAAACACCCTGAGTTGCGAAATTCCTTAATTTATAGCCCTCTTCTTTGACACGTGGCGTCATTTTACTGGCATTTGAGAACGAGTTTTAAAACGGACGGTAGCCGTTTGGCACGTGCAATAAAAAGAAGCTTGTGAAAGTGCTCGTTCGGATTGAGACATTTTATATTCGCGCTTTTTTTGGGCTCGTTTTCACTTGCGGTTTCCCTTCGTGGCGTGTTGTCCCGCTCGATTGGACGGCTGAGATTCAAAGTAAATCTTTTCGTAGGGAACCAATAACATAAAAAGGAAAAAGGGCAAAATACACCCACACCCCTTATCTTTTTAAAACATTTAAAATATTAAAAGATGGAGTGAGTGGGAAATTTTTATGATGCCTCTAAAATTAATTTTCATCACCAATAATGAAATTTGAAATTAAAAAAAAGTATAGATTTTTTGAATATGTGAACACTTATTTTTAAGGTAAAATGGATGATCTAGATGATTTGTTACAACATATACTATTTGTAGAACTTGAAATCCTAATTTTTTTACACTACTATAATGTTCAAGCTGAGATAATCGATTTAAAGGTTTCTCAACACTTAGAACTACAATTTTTTGTGAGTTATGAGGTGAGGCTTTATTTGTTTTAATAGGGTTGCAACCCAGTCAAACCATTTTCCATATTAGGATAAAATTTGTTTTATGCTTTCCATTTTATACATGAGTGTGCTCTTTTTTGTGTTTATTTTTCCTTTTTCTGAAATACTGGCAGCAGAGTGCTAAATCAAGGTGCTTCATTTTTTTATCTTCCAAACTAAATCACTCATATTTTCTTGTCAATGATCGACTGAGAATTTCAAGTTCCTCATTATTTATTATTTGGTAATAATACTAGGTTCATAACAAAGTGTTAATTACAAACAAATAGAAGTTGGTTTAAAAATAAGGGATTGTCTACTCAAATACCATTTATCTTTTGTACATGGAGGTCACAATCATTATCGTCCCTTAAATTTTAAAATAGGTAGTCGTAAAAGCATCATTGAATAGACACACAAAGTTCCAAAAAAAATCAAGAACTTAATAACTCATCCCAAACCATCAAATTTAACCTCTAATGAGTGGAAATGACGGTAACCTCCATGTGCAAAAGATAAACAATCTCTTTATAGACAATCCCTAAAAATAATTTGCAATATATTGTATAGACAATCTATTCTTAAGATTTTCAATTGCCTAGAGATCTACTTGATTTGTAGCTTTTTTTTAATCTTTAAATTTAATATCCCGAATAGAAATAGATTTTTTAGGTAATTTGAAATTTATTTACACTAACATTAATTTTAAATAAAATTAAAAAAATACCCATTACTTTAACAATTAGAGTTGACCCTTATAAACATCATCCTTAAACATTTTCAAATATATAGGCTAATTGGGAAAGGAGTTGGGTCATGATAGTAGCACCATTGATATTAAAAGCAATATTTAGACTTTTATTCTCACTTCATGTGTTAAAAACTACTAACGATTTTAAAAAACAGATAGGAGCTCATCTATCTTTGAATTACCCAACAAAAACTAAATGGTCTGATTTCTACAGCTCCACGTGTGAGACCCGTGTGACGCAATTTGATAACACGTGGCAACACAAACGCCGTTCGATTGTCTTCCGCTCTCTTTTGGGCCGCGTGGACCCACAACGGTTGGACCTTATCATCAAATGGAAAGGCAAGCCACAAGATAAGGCTACAGTGTGGAAGGGACGCGAATATTCCTTTTATGAATTGGAATATTTTTCGATTTTGGAATAACGGAGAAATAAAACAATTGAAAATTTGGAATAATAGAGAAATTAAATAATTGAAAAATCTAAGTTTGATGGATAGGATTTTGAGGCAGGTGGGGCACATGCATTATCAAAATAATAAAATTCAAGGTTAAAAAAATAGATCGGTGATTCGGATTGCATATCTAGAAAATCAATCTAATTCGGTAGAATGGATTGACGATCTGATATAGTGAACAAGCCAATAAAAAGAAAAAAAAAATTAAAAATAAATTAAACGATGGTGTGATTGGTTCTAGCTGTTTCTAAGTTTTATTTGATGAAGTGGATGTGTTAGGCTCTTGGGAAATATACTAATGATTTAAAAAATAGATTGATGATCTGCATCGTAAAAATCTGGCCAGATCAATGAATTGGTGGCTCGGATTGCTGTTTTACTGTGCAGACAAAATAGTGAACTAGTGAAAAAACATGTACGAAAATAGTAAACCGACCAGAAACCGGCCCGAATCAATGAATCAACATTTTTACTATAACAAAACAACGTTTTTTTACTGTAGCAACATGTTGTTATGCTATAGCAAATCGTTGGTTCTCTTCTTGACCTGGTGGTTTCCTATATATCGACAGAATCGGCACAAGGGACAAATTCTTAAGTCGGACTGGACGATTATGTACCCACCTAGCATTTTTTAAATCACTGGATAATGCAATATTTTTTAAATAAATAATTGAAAGTTAAAATAATAGCGGCCAGCTGGTCAAAAGGAGGTACAAAGTATTCTTCAACAAATTATATGGCGCGCCTAAGGAAACTAGGCTGTTTCATTTCTTTAAACACCATTGACATTGGATATGGTTCTTTTAGCACGCTAGGGCACCCTAGGCATGTGGTTCCTTTTCATGTGGACTCTCTCTCTTGTATACCTTCCATCCAAGAACCCCACACGTAGGGTCATCTAAGAACATCATATTCATACGTAAGGTATAGCCTATGTATTTTGTATGGGAAACAATAGCTTGCATTGGAAGGGTGTGGTGTACTCCTTTTTTATATATGGGTGTGGTAAGGCCGATGCCCAAACCAATCAGAGTAAGGTGCACCTTCAAATGGTATTGGAAGATGTTTCAGTATTGGAAATCTTTGCGTTGGCTTGAGAATTTATTTTTATCTCTAAAATTAAACATTAAAGGTTAAAAAATAGTGTAGATCAAGCAGATGTATGAACACTTGAAAATCTTGAAAGCTGTCAGTTCAGAAAATACATTATAAGATGCATTATTTTCAATACTCAAAATCCATTTTTCTTTTGTACATATATATTGAAATCGACATGGTTGACTTGAGGATTCTTGGGCATCAAAACGAAATCAGGTGTGTTTTAATATGATTGTTTAGGGCTTTACCCTTATATAAACTTTTTCCTAAATATAATATAGGTAAGCTGTCTATGATTTCCCAACAGCATAGAAGTTCTATCCTCCTCTTTATCCAACCGTCCATTTTGAATGGAGGGCTAAAATTGCCCCAACCACAATGTCACGTCTCTATCCTAATTTATTTTTAATTTTTTTCTATAAACTATTTTGACACTAAAATTTGGATGTCCATTCCTCTATTAAACTCGCACTAGCGAAAAAAAGAAAAAAAAATTAAATAAAATAAAATGACCAAAATACCTTTGAAAGTTTCAAGGGATATTTTGGTCATTATATTTTATCGAAAATTTATTTTTAATATTTTTTATAGGTGCACCCCAATGAGAAGATGGCGCATACCAAATTTCATTTTCATACAATTTTTATAAAAAAAACTAAAAATAAAATATTTTAAGACATCGAATCTAAGATCAAATGGTGAGTGGCTCTCTTAATCAAAATTGGACGGTTGGATGGTAGGGGATGATAGAACTTCTATGCTATATGAGAAACATAAAAACCTTTCCCATATAATATATACTATTGGAACATTATTGTGTCTTATGTTTCCATATTTATCGAAGGTTTAAAAAGTTGGAAGTTAAACTCGGAACTGCTCGAGTCAAATCCGAACCACTAAGTACTGAGTCCAATTTTCTCCCCAAATTAGGAGTCCGCCCAATACAACCACAAATTGTATTAAAAAAGCTTTATTACAAAACCACTGATTTTGGAGTGATTTATAGCTCCTAAACCTTGTTTAAACAAACAAAAAAAATTATTTACATTATTTTAATTTGGTTTAGCCTGGTCGCCAACTCAGCCGATTCGACTCGATATCGGACCACCGGTTCCATTTTTTAAACATAGTATCCAGATCATGTGATGCTTTTCGAATGTCTCGTGATACAAAATGAAGCATATTGGCCGGTGGGCTACCTGAAGAGAGAATAAGGACATTAAAAATGGAAGATTTTTAATGGGAGCCGTGCCTTGTAGACAAAGCTCTAGTCAAGAAGCATTACTTACTGGGTAGGACTCAAAAGATAATGACAAACTTTTCCTCCATCATAAGTTTTTGTTATGGCTGAGGTTTGTATAACGATGGTATTTTAAAACATCAATGGTGCACCTTGAAGCATGCTCAAAGGTGTGCTTCAAGTGTATAAAATCATTAAGATGGTTGGCGAATCTTCTTTTTTTTTTCATGGGTTGTGTACTATTATATCATTTATCTTTGATACAACAAGGTCACAATCATTTATAACCATCTTATGTGAAATCTGATAGCTTGGGTATATTACAAAGTTAGAAAGAAATTCTTTTAAAGTATGAGCTTAGTCAATGTAATAAATGCAGCCATCAAATTTTACATCCAATGGTCAAAATTAATTGTGACCACTTTGTACTAAAGGTGTGGCACCAATAGACGATAAGATGAGAGAGAATAGGCTTAGTTAGGCTGGCCATGTATGGTGACGATCAAGTACAATATATGTTATGAAGTGCGAGTTAGTTCAAATGGAATAACTTAAAGAGCAAGGGGTAGGCATAAAAAGACGTGGTTGGAAGTAGTTCAAAAAAATATGGGGACTTATAGCCTCACTGAGAGGTATAACATTTAATAAAGCAGAATGACAAACCATGATTCATGTAGCCGACCTTAATTAATTGGAAAAAGGCTATGATGATGATGATGACCTTGTACTAAAGGTAAATGGTCTTATAATATAATTTTCCTTTTTATATCTAATAATAAACTTAAAGTTGTATAAATAGTGTAGATTAAACAGATATATAAATATTTGAAAATCAACTTCCTAGATTATACATTACAAGCTGTACAATTCCCAGTATTTGAATTATATTTTTTCACATTAATACATTTAGAGATCGAGATGATCAATTGGAGGGTTTGTTGGAGTGAGAGCAACCTTTTCATTGAGTCTTTGTTGTTGTGCATCTTATCTATCTATTATATATTAAACGAGAGCAATACCATATTTATTTTTGCACCATGTATCCCACCATATTAATAATTCTCTCTTCTCTCTCTCCCCACATCTCTCTCATGCCCATGCATGCCATCTCATGTCCATCCTCTTTTTTTATTATCCCATTCTCCCCCTTCCTCTCCCCATTCACTATCCTACCATATTAATAACTCTATCTTCTCTCTCCTCATATCTCTGTCATGCCCATGTATGCCATCTCATGTCCATGCCTTTGTTTCTCATCTCATTCCATCCCTTCACGTAACTCCTTTCTATCCTTTGCGACTCTCTCTCTTCCCAAATGTTAAACTCTCGCATTAATTATCATGTCTATGCATGCCATCTCTTGCCCATCCCTTTTATTTGTCATCCCATTCTCTCCCTTCATCTCCCATTCACGTAACTTTTCTCTACCCCTCACACCTCTCTCTCTACCAAAATGTTAAAATCTTGCATTTATTCGCATTGATTATAGAAGATAACCTCTCTACCCCCATGACTCTCCCCCATACTAATCTCTCAAATTAATTATAAAAAACAACGCATGTCGTTTATTTTTTTATCTATCTTCTCTCTCTCCTCATTCACTTAACTCCGCTCTACCCTCATATCTCTCTCCCCCATTTAATCTCTCACATTAATTATAGAATATGACTTATATCCTTATCTCTCAATATAAATGCAATCCCTCTAGTTAACATGAATATAACTAATCATTATTATTTAATTAAAAACAATTTAATTAATTGAATGATGCCTTATCAAAAATATTATTTTAAAATGAAAATTTATTTAATTATAACTAAATCAGATCACATACAACGCACATACATAGCACTAGTTCCTTATATAAACTTTTGTTTGTTCGTTACATTAACGCGACAAACTACTATATGGTTCCCTTGGAGCATATCATATATTTACTTCCTCGATAAAAATCTTGTGCAAGAACCTGTACAAGTGTCTTGTATTGATTTGCTAGAGTAAAATCCTACCCAAAAACCCAAATATTGGGGATGTACCCGTCGACCTAGCATACAACTTCTAAGAAATACATGCTCATCCTAGGTAGTTAAAACAAATTTCCCCAAGTATTAAGTAGAGGTGGTTTAAATTGTAGTTTGGCCGGCGGATCTAAGTCTTTTAGGAACTAAATTTTTATTTTCTTTTTTTTTTTCTAAATACTATTGCATTGGCTCTTAAAAAGATATAAAATTTAATATGAACAAAATTTCTCAAAATAGGTACTTCACTCGAGGGATTAAGTGTGTAGTGTAACACTGTACGAGTAACCTATATTCATTCAAGAAATATATGATTATACGAGTGATTAGTGAGAGATCTAGTTTAGTCAAACTGGTTTGACTGCCAGTTGAACAGGTTTGATCGGATATTTAAAATTTTCAAAAAATATTGGAGCTTTAACATATGTTATATATGAGAAAATAAAAATAGTCAATTTAGTTTGAGTGGCTGAACCGGTCGAAACTCGATGGTTAGACCAACCAAAACCGAGCATATATTAAGTTTTGATAGGTTTTTGACTAGACACAATTTTTATTGTAGATCAAACTAACCAAAGCACTGGACCGATCACATAACTGTGGTTGAGGCTATGGTGCTTATTTCTTTTGCAAGTAGGAACCTGGTCGACTTTGTTGGAGACCAACAGCGTACGCAGCCCCAAGGCTTTTTTTAAATAGATAGAAAATGTTGACAAAAGTTATGCTGGTGATTTAAATAAAATAAAATAAATTACTTTTAACCTTATTCTTAAGTGATTCTTATATGTTTTCTTAATAGGTTTTGTTGGCAATAATTGGATCAAATAGAATAGATAAAACGGATGTGCGTTAGCGCAACGGTTTTCATGCTAGGCTAGTCGTTGCTTCTTGCTTTCGAGCAAGTAAAGACGAATAAAAAAACCGATGCGCTGACGCACAACGGCTTTTACGCTGGCCATTGCTTGTTGGCTTTCGAACCTACGCTTGAATGATGGAGTGGTTGAGAAACCCATAAAACTCTGGAAATGCTGCGAAAAGAAAATTGATTTTTTTAACCAATGGGGACAGTTTGGTGGATGTTTGAGCATGCCCATTAGGCTCATCGCCTCCAATCAAGAGCAGGACTATGATGATGGAGAAATGGATTTAATCTTTCGTTAGAGGGACTTACTTGGCTGGCCCTTTTTGGCAATATTTGGGGCTTCGACTTGCTAGAATATGGAGCCAAGTAAGTTAGAGTATTATCGAACCTAGCGGCTGAGTCTGAGGCCTAACCCAATTGATTTTCTAGGAAAATGTTGGTGAAGAACTTGAGCTTGGGACACTTGCTTGTCTAATTTATTTTTTTTTAGAATTGCAAGGGTCCTGATCTAGGTTGACTCAGTTTTGATTTATGAGTCAACCAACTCTACCTCTGAGACTTTTCGGTCTCTACTCTTAGGGGTCGGGTCTTGGATGGGCCAGTCTTGGCCTTAACTTGGCCCTAGTCCCTATGAGGCTAATTGAGCCTAGACATGGCAGAAGAGACCTTGGCTTAGGCCTAGATCTAGCCCTGTCAAGGCCAGGTCAAATATAATAAGAATGAATAAAAGAGAAAAAAAAAGGTGTGGTTTCCATAAGGTCGCAATCTTAAACAATCAAATTAAGGTACATCTCTAAATTTTATTATAAACATAACTTTGGTGTCAAAATTTTTTAGAGAATCTATTTTTATCTCTAAATAATAAAGTTTTAAATTCTTAAAATGGTTCAAATCAAGTAGATCTATAAACACATTAAAATCTTGAAAATAAATTGTCTATATAATGTGTTGCAGTATACATTATTTTGGAGATTCAAAATATTTTTTTTCTTTTCATATTTATACATCTCGACGTTGAGATGATCAATTAAAAGCTAACATCAAAACAACCTTTTATAATGGACTTTTGAGGAAAGGTCTTAAGATAACTTCAAAATCTATTTTAATTCCTAGCTATAAACTTTAAATTTAAAAAATAATACAGATGGAACAAATCAAAAAACACTTAAAAATCTTATAAATAAACAATTTTACATGATGCACTATGTTTGAGATTTGAAATTATTTTCTTTCTTTACGTCGTAAGGTGAAGATGATCGATTTAATTAGAGGGTTCTCTGATGCAGGATAGTAGCATTTTTGAGGTGCATCTTATTTCAACAGTATAAGGTTGCAACTACGAACTTTTTCCTTTATCCGCACTTGTTTTACTGTGCACATCATACGAGTGCTCTGCAAAATTGCCAGCAAGGAATCAAAGAAACCCTAATTTTTAACTTCTTCGTGTAAAATTTGCCCTAGTTATTTGAAGAGGATTGCATTTTGAGATCCATATATCATTTTCAGAGGCTAGATTCGTGGTTTGTTTGGATTGCGAGGTACACTTACGTGGAAATGGCGAAATTAGGTTTACTGGTTTATTAGCTGTTCGGGAAGCAATCTTTATGCAATTTCTCTCTCTTTTTTTTTTTTTTTTAATTTTACTATTGAGCTATATTTAATTACCTATATTTAATTAGTTACCGTCACAGATACGATTTTCATGGATTATCTGGTTCTTTAGGGGAAGTTTTGACCGAAGTAGAGGTTTTTTCGCTATGATATTGTAAAGATGAGCTGTTCTCAATTTGCGGAAAGTGAATAAATTATGGTTATTAAATGTGGTGAATTACATTTTTGAAGGAACATTTCTGAATTTTCAGTACTTATGCCAGAAAAGACTGACTTGTGTGAATTATCATTATGAGAAACAATGAATCCTGTTAAAGTGCATATGCTGTTAGAGAGATGGAATCCATGGTTGTTTTAGTCAGAGAAATGCCAAAGCCATCGACGGAGAAATGAATGATGAAATTTTAAGCACTCGTATGACTGGTTTTGTAACTACCAGACAATGGCATTGATTGATTTCAATTTGTATTTCAGCTAAACTGCTTTACAAATCTTATCCAGGCAACACGTATTCTTCTGTTCTATGTTTGCTTTTGAAGCTCAGCCGTCAAAATTATGGATTTTAGGCAGGTTCAGGGAAAATTGATGGAGAAATAGTGGTTTCTTCTCAAACTATGATAGATTTAGGTTTTTGCTAAAGAAGATGAAATCAATTATTGTACAATAAGATCCACAAAGGTGTCGAATTCTAATCACACTCGACCTGTGAACAGTGTAAATAAGGTTAGTACATGTAATTTAGTAAATGATGCAGTCTAAATGAGTTCTCTTCTAAGAGAAGTGGCACTTGTTCAATGAGATTGAATATGACATCTGAATTTGTTCAGTTTGCACCTACTAATGGTGCAATTAGTGTTTTTGGAGGTTTTATAAGAAGAGGAGGCTGCAAAAAGGAGTGCTCGACATGTTATCTAAACAAAAATGTTGGTAGTTTGGATATTAAAAGCGATTTTTCATGGAAGAGAAGTGGTAAAGCTTTATCGACATCTGTTGAGGAGTTTAATAACAAAAAGTGTGTACGAAGCATTGTAAAAGCTGCATCAGATCATGGAAGCTGGTATGAGGAGGCTAATTCATCCAAATACAGTTTTTTTGAGGGAAATGATAGGATCAGGCGAAAAACCTTTGGTTCTTTAAATGGGATTGTCTACAAGAGGTTAATGGAGAAAGAGGGTGAGAACTATGAAACTGACTTTCCCGATCATAATATTTGGGCATCTTCTGTGGTGGATCCTATGAATGATCGTGTAGAAAATAGTCGCGCAAATCCTTCCATGGAGTCCAAGCGCAAGGAAAAATTCTTAGGTGAGAAATTGAATGTTCATGGGGAAACTGTAAGCAAACGAGACAAAGATGACCCATCCTCAAGTATTGATTTTCTTACTTCAAAGGAAGACATGGAAAACATTGAAAGAAAGATCACCCAAAGACCAGAAAATATTGAGGGTAGTGATTTTGAGGCCTCTAATGCCATAAGCAAGAGGCAGGTTCTAAAGAGATCAGCTATGCTTGCAAAACAGGTGATCAGCATACAGTGTGCACTTACCCTTGGCTATGTATCTCAACTTTGGGTTGACACTACATCAGTGAGTGTTTTTATCTCTACCTTTCCCAATGCTTTCTTTGGATTGTTTTGTAATTTTATTTGTGGCAAATACTATACCTTTTTAGCTGAATTATTTCACCTGTGGCAATAATTTTCGTGCACTATTTGGAAATTGTGTTGCAGTGGACAGTTGTCATGGTTGAAGTTAGGCCAAGCTTGCTATCTGGTGATATAGGGAGGTTTTTGTTAAAGGATGTATACCAGGTATGTCAACTAGTTTTCACATGCATTTGGATATTTCCTTTGGTATTTGCATATATTTTCATCTTCAGGAATGACATGCACATACTTATATTGGAGGAAATTTTTATTCTTTGGGGCACTTCTACCTTATTTATGTAGTCATGAAAACATGATTTGTCTTTCATGCAACTTTTGCTTGTTTAAGAGAATTTATGTTCGCCAAATAGTAGAGAAAATAGACTGCTTTGCTTGTATGTCACTGCCACTCATAGTCATCTAGATGCAAATTTGTACCCGGAAAAACACAAAAAAATTTCAAAAAAGAAAAACTGATAAATTGATTTGAAACTAAAAAGAAGCTAACAAGACTAGCTTCAATGGCTTTGCAGAATTCACAAGAATTCAAGGAAACAATGTTTCTAAACAATAACTCAATTATGAACTAAAACCCTAAATTAATCCATATAATTTATTTAGACTCCTAATCCTAATTTTAATGTAATTAGAATTAGAATTGGACTCGAACTTGACTTTAATTCCCTTGACGAAATAAATGATGACTAACTTGTCCTAAAAATAACCTTGACTTTGCATAGCCATAATTTTCCCGCTGATATCGAAATCGCTAATATGACCTCATTTTGGAAATGATAGCGAAAGCTCTATAAAATCTGCTACGCGAGCCTAGCAAACTAGGCTGAGAAATGCCTCTGAAGCTTAAAGATTGGCCTTGGAGTTTGTTGCACGTTGCTCATCAATCTTCCCTCGTTTGAGACAAGTAGAGTACTTGCCCTTGAGTTCTGGTCATCTGTGAACTTCTTTATGTTAATTATCTTCAATTCCTCCAATATAATCCATGAATTCTCTGAGTTAGGCTTGCCTTTACGTTGAACCAAATACTGATTGTGGGAACCATGATTGGTAGTAATGAACCGAATGTTAAGAACCTTCTTGATCCAATCAGTAGTGTGCTTAGGCATCTCCACTTTTCATTCAGCAACCTCTACATCAATAGACTCTCCACGATATTCATACAGAATAGAGAGATTAAATATAGGAGGTATTCAGTATCCCTTTGGAAGCTCAATTTTGTATGCATTATTGCCTTGCAGCACTCTACATGGAGCAAACTTTTTGTACTTGAGCTTGAGATGCATTCCACTGGGAAAATATTCTCACCTAGGGTACACTGTCACTAAAGAGCATTATTTGTATTCTTTTTGGTGTTAGTGTTTATCATCATCCTTGTACTTGTCGTGACTTTCTTGAAGCTTCTCATGTACCTGTTGATGAACCTCTTACAGAGGCTTCAGTGTCATCACTTGCTTGCTTTTTCTCAAGCAGAGGTGCCAAATCTAGCACCTTATTCTGAAAATTCTCATAAACTATCTCAAAGGGTGCCTATCCTATGGACCATTTGTTTATGCTTTATATGCAAATTCAGCTTGAGGGAGAATCCTATCCCACTGTGAAGGCTTATCTCCTGCAAGCCTCCTAAGTTTCCCAGATTTCTATTCACAACCTTAGCCTGTCAGTCTGTCTGCGAATGATAAGCAGTACTGTACTGAAGTTGAGTGCCTAGCTTCTTCCATAGGATATGCTAGAAATGACTCACAAACCTCGTGTCTTTAGTTGAAGTAATAGTCTTATGCACCTCATGAAGATGAACCACCTCCTTAAAGAAAAAATCAGCTGCATCTGTAGTATCAAGGGTGTTCTTGCAGGGAATAAAATGTGCCATCTTGGAAAGGCTGTCTACTACCACAGATATTGAATCCCAACTTCTGACCATGCAGGGAAGCCTTACCACAAAAGCCATACTAACATCTGTCCATGAGGGGAATACAAGCCAGTGTTATGAGACTGACCTTTAGCTAGCTGACATAAGCTGCATCTCTCAACAAATCGGTGGACATCTCTTTTGAGCTTCGGCCAATAATATTTTTCCTCCACCAAGGAAATCATCTTAACTTCCCCAAAGTGTCCACTAAGACCTCCTCCATGTAACTTACTGACAATTTGGATGCAAAGAGACCCCTCTGCAATAATGACTTCGAACAAACTTATGGGTTTTGTGGATTGGTGACTTTGTTGGGGATCTTGACTAGAGAAGGTCTACTGCTGGTTATGGTTTCACTCTTTTTTTTGTGGATCCGATAGTTGGAAGTCATCATTTCAGTCAATGATTGTCCTCTCCACTACTGAATCAGAGTACATGGCATCCATGTAGCCATATAAGGAAGCTTTACGGCTGATGGGTTTTGTAAGTGAGCTTGGATTATTATAGGATAAATGAAAGGCGTATTGTGATAGCTGAAGTGCAATATGTTTGGTAGAAAGCCAAATTTACCATTCAAGGACCAAACATATAGATACTAGATACCATTTTATTAGGGATGTCACTGAAGAAGATATAATTTCACTTCTGAAATTTGATAGCAAGAATAATGCTGCCGCCATGATGACTAAGCTTGTCCCAGTTGAGGAGTTAAAGTTATGCTTGAACTTTCTTGACATACGCCTAAGATTTTTTTTTGTGAATATGTTAATGTTCGTCTTAAAAGGAAAATGTATAGAGTTATAAAAAATGGCAGCCTGCAGACCGGGTGCAATGTACAGAGGCCCTAGTGATTGGTGGGCTATACAAAAAGAAGATAAAAAAAGCTTTACATTCAGTTCTATAATGTAAAAGGGGTAACCAGGAGCTCAAAAAGGTGTCAAAATGGTTCTGGATGGGTTGTTTTGGCTCGCTTCTTGTTTGGCTAGTTCGTCTGCTGCTGCATTGGCCTCGCGCCATATATGCTTCCATGAGATGTGCTGCACGTGCATATCCCTGCAAAGGTGGAGTATTTCGTCAAAAATGTGTTCTAGTCTCCAAGGGCAGCCTGAGAGTCCAGAAGCCCATGTAATTATGTTTTTAGAGTTCCCCTCGACGAGCAATACTGTGCTTCGGCTAGGGTTGAAATTCTTGAGACCTATGAGCCGGGTAAGGGCTTCCGAAGTATTTGAGTTGGCATGGCCAATGAGTTTAGAGGAGTAGAGTGTCTGTTCTTCGTCGTCATGTGTGCATCTTTTGGGGTGTGTTGGAGAAGAACCTTGAAGGTGTTTTTCAAGTGGGTCACGGCCAAATTCATACCAAGATGGATATTGTTATACATTGGTTAATTTTCTCTCTCCCCCTTTCTTTCTTTTGTAAAAGTCCTAAATTATAAAGGGTATTTTGGTCATGTGGATTTTACTCTTAATTTGGGATGGATACATAAATTCTTTGTAGTTAGAGTCAGGCTTATGTTTGTCTAGAGAGAAAATATGAGAGGGAAAACCCCTTCACCTTTGAGAAAAGGGGTTTCTAGAGAGAGAAAGCAAATTGGGTAAATTCATTTTTCCCTTCGGCTGTCCAGGAAAAAAAAGAAAAAAAGAAAAAGAAAAAAAACAGAAAACCTGTACACGAGGTTTCTTGTTGATTAGTGGATTAGGCCATCTTCTCCCATGGACATGGCTTATGCAAACAAGTAGTAAACCATGTAAATCTGGTTTTGTCTTTGTATGTGATTTGATATATCTATTTCTTTTGTTTTTTTATTTTCTATTTCCTTTTAATTTTTCTTAGTAGAGATTCCTAGTTGCTTTAACAATTTCTTTACTATACAATGAGCTTTGCATTTCTTGGGCTACCTTCCATGTTTCCTTTGTTTCCCTTGACAATTAAAAATGACAAGCTTCCCATGCATTGTCCACTAGAATATCATCATGTCTCCATGTAGTTTTGCCCATAGAGGTCTACGTGGTCCCCATTACCTGAAGCACTTGTTTCTGATTGTTTTCCCAACATTTTTTCCCCTTTGACATTCCAAAACTGTTCAATTTAAATCGTGAATTTGTTGGGACAGAATTTATTTGTATATTTAAACTGTACTGTAAAGCATTTCTAAAAACTAATACAAATAACAATAGTTCATTATAATTTTAACTGGATTTGGGCATACGAGTTTCCAGTGTCATATGTGCCCTCTGGTAATGGTAGCATTTCCCGTAATTATGTGGAAATCTTATAATGTTCCATTTTCCTTTTTGAGAAGATGCTGAATCAACTTTATGGATGTGTAATATGTGCATTTTTGTTCTTTGGTTCTGCTTAGGTGGGGGATGTCGTGCTTGTTGAGGATGTGAGTGTATTAGAGAATGAGCCTAAAATGATTGGGCTGGACACTCTGGTATGGCTTCATTTTTCAAATGTTGGCCCATCTCTTCTATTAAACAAATGACATCTATAACTGTATGGAATGTGATGATTTACAATAAAAAAAGAAATATTTGGAAGAGAACAACACTGCTGTCACTTACGAGCAATTTGAGTACTGTAATCTATAATTCTATATAACCATGTAATCATGTTTGTGACTTAGCTTTGAAGAAATTTTTCTGGTTGGCTTGGTGATTCTCCAAAGTGGATCTTTTCTGCTAATAGCTTCACGTTTGAGCAAAACTGCAACTATGGACATACTGAAAATAATGTAATTTGGTTTTATATCATAGAAAAAGGAACTAAAAGCTGGTTATCATCAATTGAATTCCTTCTTCTTGGTTGATTTACTTTGCTGTTTTCTTTTGAAGGTTCGGTTATGAGATTCATTTTCTGGATTATTTGCTCATAATTTAAAATATTTGCGCTGTTTTATCGCCGATTTATTTGCAGCTGTTTGACCATGCTAACCAAGTTAAAATATGTTACACTTTCCTAGAAATAACAGAAAAAAAATTAACGTTTAATTCATTATCATTATCATTATCATCATTTGTGCCTTATCCCAACTATTTGGGGTTGGCTATACGAATCCTGTCCCGCCATTCCACTATTTCAAAGGCCATAGTTTTGATAAAATATGAGCAAGGGAATGCACCTTATATATGAAGGTTGCTAGTAATTGCACCCGAAACTAGATCTTTTTTATACTATAAATATTTGTAAAATGATCATTAATTGGTCGTGCTCTCTTCAGTTTCAAAAAAATTGCTCTCTTGTCATTCTACTTGATTTCCAGCTATATGATTAGCTGTGTTAAGCATAGTGAACCTGACCGTATGCTTCAGTTTTTCAGGTGGGATACAACGTTATAACAGATGATGGGCGCAATGTTGGGAAGGTGAGCCTGCAACTATGACCATTCATGGCATGCACTCGTTGGCACATTCATGATGCACATATGTTTGTGTGTGTGTGAGAGAGAGAGAGAGAGAGAGAGAGAGAGAGTAGTTAGTAAGAAGTAGAGAATAATAAGTAATATATAAACAATAATAAATAAATAATATAGTAAGTAATAAACGTAGTATATAAGTAAGTACTCGTAGTAGTATAGAGTAG